ACAGAATACTTCTAACTTTTTATTTAAGATAATTATAGCCTCAGGAAATGGCAGAAGTGGTCCTAGCGGCCCAAGAACCCTTCACCCTGCTTCCTCCATTGGTGACATTAAACTAGCACACATTGCAACCAGGAGATTGCCAGTCGGGTCAACTGTCCACCATTCTGCAGACACACGTGCTCTTCACCAGCACTCACCTGTGTTCTGGGCTGTGGTTCTGCACAGAGGTTTATGTGACCAATACCAGAGTCAGACACAGAAACGTGAGGGTTGCCTTCGGCAGGAAGAGACTAGAAGCAAGCATGGGCTGCCCTCAGGGAGGACAGTGGGGTGGCCAGGTGTGACAGGGCTCCTTTTCACTGTCGCGTAAAGTACTTGTAAAATACAAGTTTGGTAGTTCCGCCTGTCAGGCATCTCAAATAGAAGAGGCGTCCGCTCTGCCTCCAGAGTTCTGCCTGGTGATGGACTTGGGGGGTCACCAGGGGCTCGAGATGAGGCCACTGACCTCTGGGAATGGCCGGGGAACTCTAGGGTAGAGGGTGGGGAGTCTTGAAGGGGTTTTTGATAAACCCTCAGGGCTTTCCCCAGGTAGAGAGGAGCCACAGGCTGTGAAGAGGTCGAGGCCAGACGTAGCCAGGGTGGGACAGGAAGGGTGCAGGAAGGCCTTTGGAGGTGCCACCGAGCTGCAGTGAGAGAGCGTCTGTTGGCCCTACTTTAAAATTGAGGCCAAGCTAGACACTGTGGCGCACGCCTGTGATCCCAGCAGCTTGGGAGCCTGAGGCTGGAGAATCACAAGTTCAAAGCCAGCCTCAGCAACTTAGCAAGACCCTGTCTCTAAATAAAGTATGAAAAAGGCTGGGGCTGGGGCTCAGTGGTAGAGCGCTCACCTCGCACCCGTTGCGCCCTGGGTTTGATCCTCAGCACCACATAAAAATAAATGGAATAAAGGTATGGTGTGCAACTACAACTAAAAAATAAATATTAAAAAAGGGGGGTGGGCTGGGGCTGTGGCTCAGCGGTAGCGCACTTGCCTGGCATGTGTGAGGCACTGGGTCCGATGCTCAGCATCATGTATAAATAAATAAAGGTCTATCAACAACTAAAAAAAAAAAAAAAGAAATAAAAGGGCTGGGGATATGGCTCAGTGGTTAAGCCCCACTGTGGTCAATCCCTGGTAACCCACCCCCCACCAAAAAAAATAGATTTGTACAGAATGCAAAAAAAAAAAAAAATGGTACAGAATGGTGCGCTGGGTGCAACTCAGTGGTAGAGCGCTGCGTGGCCTGCACGAGGCCTTGGGCTCCAACTCCAGCACTGAAAAGCAAGCACACAGTAGCAAGAATCCCAGCACCAGACAGTGGCCACAAAACCACCAAGCCCAAATAAAAAACGCAAAAATAAAGTGGTGTATTGAAAACTGTCTTTTTTTCTGCTTTTAAAAATGGGAGGAGGAGTTATTTCACAAGTAAAACTAATCTGTGGTAGGAAAAAAAATTGGAAGAGTGGCCACTTGGAAGGGGCTTGGCTGGGAGGGGTCTGAGGGGGCATGCTGAGCTGTCTGGCCCACACCTTGGTAGGAGCCTGCATGATCGGGAGTCAGTCAAAGCTCACATTTACAATTTGTGTATCTAACACTGGGTTAGAGCTCAGTGGTAGAGTGCTTGCCTGGCGGGCATGAGGCCTGGGTTTCTATCCCTAGCATCCTGCAGAAGTGCAAAAAAAATTGTGCATTTTACCAAAAAAAGGGGTGGTGGGGGTAGAGGAGGTAAGGTATGTTTGCTGAGGCATTTAGGAATGAATTGTAATTGAGGTCTGCAACTTAATTTGAAATTGATCAGAATCAGGAAGTGGACTTCCTGGTGGGTAAAGGTGGGAAGATGATAAATATAAGAAGGTGTGAATTGTGGAATGTGGTCACTATGTGGGCACATAGTCTTCACTGTTTAAAACAGTGTTTACTGAGCCAGGCGTGGTGGTGCATGCCTGGAATCCCAGAGGATCAAGGGTTCAAAGCCAGCCTCAAAAACTTAGTGAGGCTCTTCCTAAGCAATTTAGTGAGTCCCTCTCTCTTAAGTTTAAAAAAGGGGTGTGGATGTGGCTGAGTGGTTAAGTGCCCTTGAGTTCAATCCTGTATACCAAAAAAAACCCCAAAAAGTTTACTGTGTATTTGAAAATTTCCATTAAGATTTGGGGAAAATTTTTAAAATTGAACTTGAAATGGTCTGTCCTATATAATTATTGCCTGATAATATGTCCCTAAATCTTTCTGTGTGTACAGGAGGGATGTGTTTTTTGCATCTTAATTCCTCTGATCACTTGAGGTGTCGGCTCTTTGCCCCATATACTTCATAAGAGGTCAAGGTTCAAGGTTTTCTAGCACTTTCTGGGGAAATGACTCTAGGGCTATTAACGTGGCAGATCATCACTACCCAGGAGTCTCTTCTTAGCCAACAGATTTGCTTTATTAGTGAACTTCAAACCAATTCCTCACCTCAGCTGGCAGAGCTGGGAGCAGGGTGCATCAGTAGCCCAAGAGGGAGGGATGGTTGCGGTATCCTCTCTGTGCTCTGGAATCCTGCGCTCTATTAGGTCTGTCTCTAAAGAAGCTGACCCTGCGAGGGTCTGGGGTGTGGTGCAGTGGTGGAGTGCGGGTTTATGATGCTGGGGATTGAACCCGGGGCCCTGCCAGGCTAGGCAATGACTGTTAGTGCTGTAATGTCCCGAGTTTCTGTTTGGAGCGATTTCATGTGTGTACAGAGAAACACGAACATACACATAGTGCCTCCTGAAGTGACTTCACACCTGGGAGTACAAGTTAAAAAGTCTTGCTGGGCATGATGTGCACGCCTATAATCCCAGAGACTCAGAAGGCTGAGGCAGGAGGGTTGCAAGTTCAAGGCAGCAAGTTAGCAAGGCTCTAAACAACTGGGCAAAACCCTGTCTCAAAATAAAAATAAGGGGCTGGGGCTGTAGCTCTGTGGCAGAGCACTTGTCTCGCATGTGTGAGGCACTGGTTTCCATCCTCAGCACCACGTAAAAGTAAAGAAATTACAGGCATGCCTTTCATCTGCAACTACAAAAAATTAAAATTAAAAAGTAATAAAAAGAGCTGGGGATGTGGCTCAGTGTAAGGTGCCCAGGGTTCAACTCTGATCCCCCACCCCCCAACTAGGGGATACTCAGGCAGATGCAGGTGGGTACAAGTGTGGAGCGGAGCGGCCCCCATATGCTCCCGCCTCGGGCAGCATTCATCCCTTTTCCTGGCTGTTTCATTCCTCCCCTCCCACCTCCACCTTGGGCTGAACTATTCTTCAGGGTCACTTTTGCCACTGAGCTGCATCACCAGTCCTTTTTAAACTTTTTATTTAAGACAGGGTCTCACTTAGTTGTTGAGACTGGCTTTGAACTTGATCCTCCTGCCTCCAGCTCCTGAGTCACTAGGATGACAGGTGTGCACCACTGCCCTGGGTTTGGCTAGACTATTTTAAAAACTATTCCAGAGGGCTGGGGATGTGGCTCAAGCGGTAGCGCGCTCGCCTGGCATGTGTGCGGCCCGGGTTCGATCCTCAGCACCACATACAAAACAAAAGATGTTGTGTCCAAAAACTAATAAATAAATAAATATTAAAATTCTCTCTCTCTCTCTCTCTCTCTCTCTTAAAAAAAAAAAAACTATTCCAGAAATAGTGCTATTTTACTTCTGTGTTGTGGACTTTTTGAACTTTGTATTTTGGAGCATTTCAAATATATGCAAAGTAGAGAGAATAGTGTGAAGAATTCTTACCAATATTCTGCTATTTCATCACTGCCCTTCCCCATCCCTTTCATAGATTGCTGGAGTATTTTGTTTTTTGCTGAAGTATTTTAAAACAAATCCCAAACATCATGTCTTTTTCCATGAAAACATTTCAGTAAAGTATAAGATGCAGATTTTTGGAACTGATAGTCTTTAAAAGATAGTAGGGACTGCCATCAGTCGTCACCCTTTGGACATTCCAACCCCCATCCTATCCTCATACTTCAGAAAAGGTAGATTTAAAACAAAACTACAAGTGCTAAGCGATAACGAAACTCAAAAATTTCAACCACGCACTTAAAGTATGGATGGAATTTCCCTTTCTGTCACCAGGTCCAAATTCATGATTTATGTGATAAGAGTCTTCTTAGCCAGGCACAGAGGTGCACACCTGTGGTCCCAGTGACTGGGGAGCCAGAGGCAGGGGGATTGCAGTATTTGGGCCAGCTCGGGCAATCTAGTGAGTCCTGTCGCTTAGGTGGGGAGAAGAGGTCTTAGTGTCAGTCGTGGTAGTTCTCAGCTGGGGGTGATTGTGCGCATCTCCCCGCTTCCCCCAGGGACATGTGGCTGTGGTGTGGGTCCAGGTGCCACAGCCAGGTGGGTAGAGGCCGGAGATCCTGCCAGCTGGCATCCTGAAATGCGCAGGTCACGCCACAAATAAGCAGTCACCTGGCGAGGGTGCTGAGGTGGGAGGCCCTGGTGCAGGAGGCCGGGGGGAGTGCTTTATCTACAACTCTTCACGGTGCTTCTCCCGACTCGGGGGCTCTGCTCAGTGAGCATTGTCACTGGGGGTGGGTGTCAGCCACATGGACACAAGTCATCGCCAGTCAGTATTGGGTTGAAGGCAAACTGACTTCCAGAAGTTTCAACTGAAGTCATTTTAGATCAGCATCCTATCAGTGGTGGTCAACAGGGCTCTTTCAGAGATGGTGTGGCAAAATAAGTAGAGGGTTTAGAGTCTGCTTGCGAGGAGGCCAAGCGCCCTGGGAGGCAGGCGGACGATAGAGCTTTTTCCTTTCTCGAGAGCTTCCAGAAGTGAGGCAAAGGGACAGGCTGATTCCAGTGCCATGGACACCCGAGGACAGACAGAGACACACCACGCCTGCAGCTGGCGGGAGGGAGGGAGCAAAACGACCTTCCAGGGAGACCAGTTGGAGGGACACACAGGCTCTGCACAGCTGGACAGCCTGGGAGAGAATGGAAACTGCTCATGGGGGGCAGGACCACAGGGGCCCACTGAGACCACTCCAGACCCAGGAGGGGAATGGGCGTGTGTACAGCTCACCCTGCGACCAGGCCTGCAGTGGGGGGTGGAAGGGGACCCAGAGCTCTGGGTCTGACGTGACTGTGTGCCTTGTTTCTTTGCAGGTTGTTCATTTAGAAAGTGGATGTGTGGGATAACATGTCCAGTGTGTCCGAGGAGAGAAGGAAAAGGCAGCAGAACATTAAGGAGGGACTGCAGTTCATACAGTAAGCACGAGGTCCCGTCTGGGTGTGCGTCCCCTGAGAGCAGTTCCTCACGTGACCAGGTCCTGTTGCCCTGGGCTAGAGGTGACACACCTGCCAGTGTCTCTTCCCTTGCCTGTTTGCAGTTCTTGGATCTCACTGTTGCCGAGTCTTGGGGTTGAAGTCCTTCCTCTCCCCAGAACTGAAGAACTTGAATTTGCTCTCATCGGAACGGTTCTGATGAATGAGAAAGTGACTGAGTAAACACCTGTCACCACAGAGGCCTTTCGCCACCAGACGTTCCTGTTGGGACGTGCCCGGTGACAGACAGCCCTCGGTTGGGTGGAGGTGTCCAGGCAGAGGGCCTCTTTGTTCCCTCCTGGGGAGGAGACGTTGTCCTCTGTGCTGCACTAAATTGGATCAGAAGTGTTAGTGGCCTGTTCTATTTTTAACCTTTTTGGCATTTGAAGAATCAGGCCTTCTTTTAATAGAAGTAGATTTGAAAGAAAAGCGCTGTGCTTAAGGAAGCGCCAGGAATAGTTGGGGTTTTTGCTTCATGACTGCGGCGGGCACTGGCGCTGAAGAGGTGTTGTCAGACGTGTTTTGCACCAGTGGAAGCAGTTTTGAGATGACTTCTGTCTGAACAAATTCCGATGGGAGCCTGATAATCACCATTGATTTGTTTCTTTTTAGGTCGCCGCTGTCATACCCAGGAACCCAGGAACAATATGCGGTAATGACCCTGGGGGGGTCTGCTTGAGAGCAGGGGGTGGCCAACCTGGCCTGGGGGTCAGACCTGACCGCTGCCCTTTTCACAAATAAAGCTTTATTGGGACGAAGCCACACTCATTGCTCATGTATCATCTCTGGCTTCCTCTCGACGTGCGCTAGTTGTGACAGAGACTCTACGGCCTGCAAAACCTAAAACGTGACCTGGTGTTCACACAGGCGGCCTGCCAACCCCGAGGGTGGGCAGCCTTCTGGGGGAGGGGTGGCACGTGGACAGTTGTCCTGTGTTTCCTTTTCCTCTGTTAGTGTAGTTTGAATTGGTCTGTCTTTTGAGCCCTTTGAAAATGACCCTTCATTTTATTGAAAATAAGTGGGACAGAATCTGAGAATGTGTAGCATCTTCTGTTTTCGTCTCGGAGCAAGTCCTGACAGCAGCAGTAAGCGGGCTGGATGGCCCGAGGGAAGAAGTGGCAGTGGACTGACCAGCGAGACCCCGGGAGCAGGCCCTTGGGGCAGCGAGGGTCTGGGCGCTGCCCAGTGTCCTTTCTCTCTGTCTTGTTTTCCTTCCCTTTCGGTTCAGTTCTCTCGTCCTCCCTTTTCCTCTCTCCACACAGGTAGAGAGTCAAAAAATGTGTGAGCTAGAGGCCACTTGGAGGGATCCTTTCATTTTCCACCTGTGGAACTGGGGCCCACAGAGCCTAAGTGGCATGTCACCAGTCGCACCAGTTATTATTTTTTGTACTGGGGAGTGAATCCAGGGGCACTCTACCACTAGTGAGCCACATCCCAGCCCCCTATTTTGTATTTTATCTAGAGACAGGGTCTCACTGAGTTGCTTAATGCCTTGCCATGTCTGAGGCTGGCTTTGAACTCACGCTCCTCCTGTCTCAGCCTCCTGAGCCGCTTGGATTACAGGTGTGCACCACTGCGCCTGGCCCCACACCAATTATTAATGGTTGACTTGTCCTTTTCTCTTAAAGGTCTAGTCAACTTATACCCAAATTCATAAAATGAGACCAAAAAAAGTTGAGTGTTGACCAGATCTTGTGATGCGAGAGGACTTTTAAGATTTTGAAGTAGTGATAGGAGTCATGAAGGAGGATTATGAGCTTGTGTGCCCACAAAAAGATGTGTCATGAAGGAGGATTATGAGCTTGTGTGCCCACAAAAAGATGTGTGTACTTGAGAGAGGCTTGGTCCCCTTCCCCCAGATCAGTAGGTGACTTAAGCAGTTTACCAAAGAAATAAAACAGTCTGCAGCAGGCGGGAAAGTTCAACCTCTCTGGTCGTCGAGACATGCAGATGAAAAGGACACTGTGTCCACTCCATCCAGCAGGGAGGTCCAGGAAGCCGTCCCCTCGGGTGCTGGCTGCTGATGCCTTCCTGGGTGCTGGTGAGAGCCTGGCCTCTGCGCTCCTGGGCCGAGGAGCAGGACCCGGGGGCTGAGCCTGCATGTGCAGGGGCTTTTGCTGAGCTTTCCTTCAGAAGCAGAGAAAATTCTCTTGCCCAAAAAAAAAAGCAGACGAAGCCCCTGGCCGACCGCGCAGCAGGGCTCAGGCAGGCTCTGCTCTGTGGGGCTGTCTCTCAAGTTTCAGGTGTAGACCTTCAAATCGACCCGGGCCTTCCTGAGTTCTGAGAGGGCTTCAAGAAGTGCCTTTTCTCTCTTCAAGGTGTATTTGCGAGCTCTCGTGAGAAACCTTTTTAATGAAGGAAATGACGTTTATCGGGAACGTGACTGGAACAGCTCGATAAGCCAGTACACGGAAGCTTTGAACATAGCTGACTATGCAAAGTCTGAAGAAATTTTAATCCCTAAAGAGATCATTGAGAAACTGCATATAAATCGTATTGCCTGCTATTCTAACATGGTAAGTGTGATTGTTTTTTTTTAAGTGTTTCTAGGAGAAAATTTACCTCTGTGTTGTAGAACATTAATAAAGAGTAGTTTTCTGCCAGATCTGTGATCCCAGGGACTCATGAGGCTGAGGCAGGAGAATCTCCAGTTCAAGCACAGCCTGGGCAACTTAGACCCTGTCTCGAATTTTTAAGAAAAGGGACGTAGGCCAGGTTAGTGGAAGGTAGTCTTGGGTTCAAAATAAAACACATTCTCCTAATTTCAGTTTGTTTTTTAACAGATCTAGGGGTCAAGTATCAAACCCAGAACTTCATGCTAATTTCAGTTTTTAAAGTTTTTGTTCTTGTTTTTTTTTGTAGTACTGACCTCCAGCGTATGATGCCCTGGCCTCAGCGTCGCTAGTCACTGGGATCACAAGCGTGTGCCACTGTGCCTGGCTAATTTCAGTTGTTTGTTTTTTTAATATTTATTTTTCAGTTGTAGTTGGACACAATATCTTTAATTTATTCATTTTTATGTGGTGCCAAGGATCGAACCCAGGGCCTCGCCTGTGCTAGGCGAGCTCTCTACCACTGAGCTACAACCCCAGCTCCCTAATTTGAGTTTTTAAGAAAGACATATTAACTGCTTTTAGTGTGACCCAAGGCTTTAAAAAATCGGCTTTAGATAGATCTTTAGGGATCTAAAAAATACTTTCTTGTGACTGGTCCTTGAAGATTCCCGTTTGCGGGTGGTGGTGGGAAGTCGTCTGGAGGGCACAGTGGCCAGGCCTGTGATCCCAGCTGCTCCCGGTGCAGGCAGGAGGGCCACAGGACCCGCCTCAGCCACTCAGGGAGACCCTGTCTCCACAAGGACTGGGGATGGGGCTCAGCGTCCAGCACTTGGGGTTCAGTTGCCAGGTCCGAAGAAGATTTAGTTTGCCCTTTTAGGGCTTTTTTTTTCCTTTCACAGAAGTGTTTCTAAGCTTAGAAAGCAGTATTTTGATACGCTAATGATTTTCACTATGGTGTGTTCAGGAAGATGAGAAGATGGATTAAGAAAGTGTCTGTGCTGTCTAGCACATTTTTCAAGGACATTCAGTGGAGACAAGTGTGGTTTCCAACCCATCAGCGCCCTCGGTCAGCTCTTGGGAGTGACATTCCATTTCCCTTTTATTTAATTGATAAACCAGAGTCGTCTTTGTTGCTGGATGCACTTGGAGCTGTTGTGCAGGTGCCCGAGGTGTGGCCCGAGGTGTGGTGCTGAGTCACAGTCGGGAGTCGGGAGACTCCCTGGACCATTTTTCAGTTCCCTGAGGTGCAAACATTTGGAATCCTGTCTTCAACCTTTAAGATCCACATGACTTTAAAGACACATTGTTACATGTGGTGACCCATGTGACATTCTAATGAGCCCCAGGGGTGGTGACTGCAGGGGGAGGGATGGAATGGAGAGTGGCACAGGGGTCTTCAGTTTGACTTGCAGAAAGCTTTACTTCTTGGTGATCTGGGTTTCTTATGGTCCGACAGTTGCCGGGTAGGTGGTAGGCACGTTGATATTCATGATGTCCTTTCCAGTTTTGTGTATTCGAAACTTCAAAACAAAAATGATTCTGAAAGGAAAGCTAACATTGCTGACTTTGCGTTGTAACCGGGATGGCGGGATGGCGTCTCGGAGTTGTCTCCACTTCCAGGGAGGGCCGTGTGAGAAGGGCCGTGTGGTTGCTGACTCTCTTCTCTGTCCTTCGCACCAGGGTTTTCATGATAAGGTGTTAGAAGACTGTAGTGCTGTGCTCACCCTCAATGCCAACAGCTGCAAAGCTCTGTATCGGAAGGCTAAGGCTCTGAGTGACTTAGGAAGGTACAAGGAGGCCTACGACGCTGTGGCCAAGTGCTCCCTGGCAGTGCCTCAGGTATGGAACCGAAATGTGGCTCCTTTGTTTACATCATGGCACTTAAAGAGTTAAACTTGGGGGCTGAGGTTGTGGCTCAGTGGTAGAGCATTTGCCTAGCACCTGTGGGGCCCTGGGTTCGATCCTCAGCACCACGTGAAAATAAATAAACAAGATAAAGGTGTATATATATATATTAAAAAAATAAAATAAAATAAAGAGTTAAACTTCTGAGAGTGTGGTCAGTCCCAGTGACTGAGGAGGCCGAGGCTGAGGTGGGAATATTGTAATAAATATTGTAATCAATTTTCTGCTAATGCAGAAAAGTCGCAAATTTGATTGAGACCAACCTCAAAAAAAAAAAAAAAAAGGTATATATATATATGGGCTGGGGATGTGGCTCAGTGGTAGAGCACCCTGTGTGCAATCCCCAGATCTAAAAAACAAAACAAAAAATGTTCAGCTCCCCGCGCAGCCTCCAGCCTGCTCCATTGGGGTGACAGCTAATAACGCGAGGGCCTGGACAGGAGGTGCCACACGCTTGCTGGTTCTGCCGCCTGGTCTGTCAGTAGAACCGTCTTCTAAGCATGCATGTTGACTTTTTTCAGGATGAACATGTAATAAAACTGACTCAGGAGCTAGCTCAGAAATTGGGATTTAAAATAAGGAAAGCGTATGTTAGAGCCGAGGTAAGCTGGGTTCCGTCCGTGAGGGCTTTGCATTTTGTTTTCTGAGTTGGAGTCAGTTTTGTTTTTAAATTAATGTCTTTATTATATTTCAGCTCTCATTGAAATCCGTTCCTGGGGACGGGGCAACCAAGGTAAAGTTATGATTTCTGTATGAAGCATGTTTACAAGAAAAGGAAGGATGGAATTCTTAGCAATTCTGCTTTTCCTATTTTTAGTGCGTGCCTCTTTTAGTCCTCACATAATTGACCAGAGCTTCCTGTCACTTAAAAAAAAAAATAAACTCAAGTAATATATTTCAGCCTTAACCAGCATTTCCTGAAGTCCGTTGGAGCATTTTACAGGATGTGCATAGATGCTAGGCTTTATTATGATTTTTTTTTTTCCCCCAAAGCTAAGTCTTCTTCGAGATAGTAGGATGCTTATGGTGTGTGTGTGTGTGTGTGTGTGTGTGTTTTGGGGTGGAGTGGTGGCTAGATTAGTCCCTTGCATTCTACTAAATGTCCTTTGAAAAATGTTGGTCCATACGTGGGGGCAGCTGGGCTTGGTTATGCACCTGTGGAGTCAGAGACTCATGCAGCAGGGCCCCTTGAGCTGAGACCCCTGGGCAGCATGGCAAGTGCACACGTGTTATAAAGGTTTAAATACTCGTTGTTTTTTTCTCCTCTGCCCACTGCCCACAGTACTGGGGATTGACTCCTAGGACGTTCCACCCCTGAGCTGTCCTCTGTCCAGCTCTTTTCATTTTTTATCTTGAGCGGAGGTCACTCTGAATTGCCAAGACTGGCCTCAAGCTTATGATCCTCTGCCTCAGCCTCCCAAGCAGCTGGGATGATAGGTGTGTGCCGCCAGTGACCGGCCTTACTTTTTATTTCTTGGATCTTAATTAGAAAGGAGTCAAATTTCTGTGCAAACATGCATTGCTCTTTTAGGATGAGTTGTAGAGATTGCTTGATCCTTGACAATCCTGAAACCATGATTCATTGTGGTTTAATTTCCAGGCTGTGAACTATTCTGTGGAAGATATTGAGCCAGGTATGTGTTCCCATGTTGTCTTCCTGTGCTGAAGGGCGCTAGCTTTAACTGGACTCTGACCTGGCACTGTCAGATGACCTCTGTGTGTCACGTTTCACCTAGCTCTCGTGTTCTCTGTCACTGACCGTGACACCACTGTTGTGTCAGTCTGGCAGAAGCGAGTGAGTACCTCTCCATCTGTCACAGATCTGGTGGCTCCGAGGCAAGGAGCACTGCCCGCTGTTTCCCTACCTGCGCCCGGTTTTTCTCACGACGTAGGAAGTGAGCTGGCCTCGGTTTCTGTCACGCCCCTAGCTTCTGTTTTGTCCCTGCAAGTGGAAGAGAACACTCTGCCCTCCTCAGTATTGGCAAATGGAGGGAAGATGCCTTTCACGATGCCCGAGGCTTTTCTGGATGATGGAGACATGGTCCTTGGAGATGAGATCGATGACTTGCTTGATTCTGCCCCAGAAACTAACGACACTGTTATGGTAAGTTCGGTGCTTTGCTTTGCTTCCAAAGATGCGGTTACCATTTGTTTAAATTGTCGTGTAACTGGGTAGATACTTTCATGTTCCAGACTGATCTATGATTTCTGACTTTGAATATTATTTTTGTCCTTCTTTGGTGGTAACTGGATAATTGGGTCATTTTTAAAACAAGAAAGTAATATGCTTCTAGTCACTAGCCAGTTTTTCTTGAAGGAACAGGTAAAACATGACATTCCTACTAAGAATAAACATTTGACATTTAAGGAAAAACAGTTTTATGGGTTAGGAACTTCTCATTGGCTTGAGGAAATTCTCTGTTAACCACATACCATAAAACAGAAGTCTGCGGACCGGCCCACTGCCTGTTTTGTGTGGCCACAAACTAGATTTAACATTTTAAAAGCCTAGAAGAATGACAACCACCAACAACAAAAATTAGGTAAGCCTGTTTCAGTGTCCTTAAGTTTTGTTGGAACGCAGCCACAGGCCCTCTTAGGTGTTGGCCGCAGCTGCTCCACACTGCCGTGTGGAATGGGGTCATGTGGTCTGCAGAGTCGAAACACTTAACATCCCGCCCTGCACAGAAAAGGTTTCGGACCCCTTCCTAAAGCGCATTAACACCGAGGCCCGTGATGGGACAAGTTCAGAGCTGGTTTCTGGTAGAGGTGGGCTGAGGAGAGATGCCTGTGAGTGTCTGGAAGCTCTGGGTTTGGCTCTCAACAGCTCTGGGGTCTTGGGCAAGATACTTGGCATCTTGGTGCCCCAGCGTCCCTGTTCAGTGGCAGTTACTGAGGTGCAGACCCCGGAGGGTCCAGAGCATCCCCCTAGAAAGCATGTAGAACCCACTGTGAGGCACCGGGGGCGCTTACAAATCACTGCTCTGAATTGGGAGGGGAGGTGGGAGCTCGAGTGGTCCCTGGGAGATTGTGAGCTCCACCCTTGGAGAGATGGTCCCTGGGGTTTTCCAGCCCCCTTTCTGAATCCCCCTCCTTCCCAGCGCCTCCCGTTCATCCGACCATTCCTCTTTAATAAAACAAATGATCAGGAGCAGGTGAGTGTAATAGTTGGGCTTATGCAATATTAGACTTCACACCTCAATCATTTTTAAAAGTTGGATTTTAAAATGAAGTCTGTAGCTGAGTTCTTCCAGTGGATCTTCATTTTGATTGTGGTGTAACGTGAGCGCCCTGTGGTGATCTGTTTGTATTTGGTGGTGTTGAGAGCAGGCCAGCCAAACCTACGGCAGATTCTGTGAGTCTCGACCTCTCTCTTCTCCTGCAGCCCTCGGCCTTGGTCAGAGGACCGCTCCCGGCAGCCAGCCTCGCCCCCAGCTTGCCCTTCCCGGCATCTCTGCTGGGGACCTTGCCCGTGGGTGCGAGGTATACGCCTCCACCCTCCTTTGCAGATTTGTATCCACCTTTGACCTCATCCTTAGAAGATTTTTGTTCTTCTTTAAATTCATTTTCAATAAGTGAATCCAAACGAGGTAAGACTCTAGACTCAATTTTTAACAATTGCAATTAATTTTCTAAAAATGAAAACTAGTGTCTGGAATTATGTAACTAACTTTAGGCAATAGGTATCTGAAGTTTTTCCACGAGCCAACAATGTCAAGACCGAGCCTTAGTGTCGATTCACCTTGGTCTTAACAGTACCATTCCAAGCACTGGAGTAGAGGTGAGGGTGGACATGATGGTGGCCCTGGTCCCTACGTCGGAGCCTTTGTTAACCAGGATGTCCTCTGTTAGGGGGTGAATGACTTTTAATATATTCTTCAGCAAATCTGAAGGGTCCGAACGACAGATTGTCTTTTCTAAATCCTAAACTGGGAAAACACTAATTTAAGGTCTGTGTTTGGAATGGTAACAGTTAAACCTATTTTGAGCTTCATCTATTAAGCTCATTAAGCTGCACCTGGCTTGACTCCTGTTTCTGTAACCCCAGGTTTAATACGTGCTGTCAGCAGTAATGTCAAAAATCTACACATTTTTTTCTGAGACATTGTCACTTGGCTAAAATGGCCAGCCTCTAAATAACTGAGGTAAAGATTTATAACTGAAGAGAGTGAAGTGAATGGGAGACCGACAGAGGGAGCGGAGGTCGAGGAGAAGGCCAGGGACAACAAGGGCCTGGGTTCAGCACCGTGCTGAGCTTCTGCTTCCCGTCTTCAAAGGGAGGCTCTTCCCCATTTTGAATAATTTTCGTAGCCTTTTAACAGTAGGCCCTGCCTTAGATCATTTCTCCAAAGACGACTTTTCCTTTGAATCTGTGTGACTGAGGGTCATTTATACCCTTGGTTTCTAGAAGGAGGCAAAACTCTAGAGCCCTCTTTGAGTGTCAGGGGTAATAAGCAAGAGCCTGGGACTTGGCGGGAACCGGCGGAGGGAAGCCTGGCCAGTCAGGGTGGGTGTCTCTGACGAGAGTGAAAAGGTCTGTTGAAGTCTTTTTGTTATTTTAGATCTGCCCACCTCAACTTCTAGAGAGGGAACCACGCTTAACAACAGTAATTCTTCCCTTTCACTTGTAAGTGCACTTCCTCTTTTGTAATAGTCGCTTAAATTGAAATAGGCCTTGTGCTTAAGTGACCGATGGACTGGAATGACACAGGGTCTCCCTGGAGTCTGTGTGTGCTGTGGGCCTGGTGTGTCGGTAGACGCTGTGCGTGCAGGACTGGATCTGTCCCTGCCAGTCAGTCACTGCGCAGGCAGATGGCCTCAGAGGCTCCCCGTGCAGCCTAAGCCGCGTGGGAGGTGTTGGTCCACAGCCGCAGACACTGGAGGACGGCCAGCGGGGTCCTGGAGGCCAAAGAGGAAGACGTGGACGGAGTCGGTTTTTAAAAAAGAAGGGTGTTGAGGACAGGGCAGTGCTGCCCCCGGCCCGCTCTTCAGACGACTCCAGCCTCCTTCCTTAGTGGTGGTACAATGTATGCTGCTTGTTTGTTCTGTTTTTTTTTCTTTCTTTTTTTTTTTTGCAGATGAATGGACCAAGTAGTTTATTTGCTTCCGAGAGTTTCCCGGGAATTTCGAGTCAGCCTAGAAATGACTTTGGAAACTTTTTTGGAAGTGCGATTGTGAAGCCGTCAGCAGTGGTACCAAGACATCCCCTGGAGGGGACCCACGAGCTGAGACAAGCTTGCCAGATCTGTTTTGTAAAATCAGGTCAGGATCAAACAAGTGGCAGAGGGCCTTCAAACTAATTCAGACGCCGTGGGTTGCTCGGAGCCCGTAAGCTGCTGTCAGCAGCTCTGCCATGGTGGCCGCTGTTCGTCACCTGCTTTGATTCTCCTGGGGAAGCGGCGGGGACTGATGGCATTTGGAGTCTGATAGGAGGAGTCTTGGCTCTGTTGAACATTTACCTGACCTGGAAACTTACTGAAGCTTTATTTTTAAATTCAGTTTTTACTTATAGGTGGACACAACACCTTCACTTTATGTTTATGTGGTAGCTGAGGATCAACTCAGGGCCCACACGGGCTAGGCCAGCACTTTACCCCTGAGCCACCGCCCAGACCCCTGACTGAGGCTTTCAGGAAATCCGTTGTGTTCTAGGCCTATGTGTAAAAACTCTGATGATTTCCAGATCAGTGTGTGACCAGGTATGGTGGTGCACACTTGTAATTCCAGCTGCTCAGGAGGCTGAGGCAGGAGGATCGCAAGTTTAAAGCCAGCCTTAGCAACTTAGTTGATGCCTTTAAAAACTAAAAGAACTGTTTAAAGTACTTCCTCTTGATCTTGCTTCAAAGCAAGTGATATAAAGAATTCTGGTCTGGACCCGACTTTATTTTCTTTCTTAGTTGTATATTCCCCCCCCCCAGTTCTGCAGATATATATATATATTTTTTAAATCATTAATATATTTTTTAATATCTTTATTTTTATGTGATGCTGAGAATCGAACCTAGCGCCTCATGCATGCCAGGCCAGCTCGCTACCACTTGAGCCGCCTCCCTAACCCCATTCTGCAGATCTTAGTTGGCTTTATTTGAGATTCTAGAAACAGTCAACAATCTGGAACAAAAGTGGTCCTTTGTAAAAAAAAAAATAATAATAAGCCTTCAGAATGCCTCACCAAATTATTTCCCTGATAATTGATAAGGGAATGTTTTGGTTGGACTGATGGTGAGTAGAAGTTTTGTTGCCTGACAAACAGGAAAAAAAATAAAACAAGGCAAAGTCTGCTTTGTAGCCTGTTTCTGTTTTGATGAGATTTGGAGGGTAATGGAAATCACTGTTAATCGCTCAGGTCTGCTTACAGATTGACTGCAGAATGATTTTTTGCTTTCTGACGCATATCAGCAATCTTCTTTTTATCTCTTTCAGGCCCTAAGTTAATGGATTTCACTTACCATGCTAATATAGATCATAAATGTAAGAAAGATATTTTAATTGGTAGGATAAAGAATGTTGAAGATAAATCATGGAAAAAAATTCGTCCAAGACCAACAAAAACAAATTATGAAGGACCATATTATATATGTAAAGGTACATGTTGTAATTCTTGCATAACTATATATGATTACTTAAGTACGTTTCCATAAGTAATAAACTGCTACATTTATCGTAAGCACTCTAATATTGACTGTTAATAAAAATGTTTAGACTTACTAGCAGGGTCCTTGGATTGAGACGTGAGTATTCTTTCTGTTGTTCTTACTGTTGTTGTTTTGAATCTTGTGTATATCTTAGAGCTGTTAATGGAAACAGGGCTTCAGCCACGTTTCAAACAGAAAACTCTGAAGCTTGAAGTTTTATCTAGAGAATTGGAACACTGGGACAAGGCTTTGAGAATGTCACTGTGTTTAAGATGCTCTGGAGAGGAGTTGGTTTCTTCACTTTTATCAGACCACTTAGTCTGAGTATACTTTGAATGTTCCTAAAATCATTTTCAGTCTCAGATGGAGTGCTTGAAAATGGTGAGGAACTTTCCCCTTCTGCAGTAGGATTCATTCAGACTTGAAGACTCAGTCTTGTTCCTGAGGAGTAATGCTTGTAGGATTTCTTGAAGCCGATTGCCAATTATTAAAAAATCTCAAATGATGCGCTCAGTGTGACTGACGCTCGCAGCTTTGAGAGGGTGGCGTGGCTCAGTGTCTCCGGCCCTGTCCTTGCAGATGTGGCTGCGGAGGAGGAATGTAGATACTCAGGCCACTGCACGTTTGCCTACTGCCAAGAAGAGATAGACGTCTGGACCTTGGAGAGGAAGGGGGCCTTCAGCCGGGAGGCTTTCTTTGGTGGCAATGGGAAGATCAGCCTCACGGTGTTCAAACTTCTGCAGGAGCATCTTGGAGAATTTATATTCCTTTGTGAGGTGCTTTTTCCAAGACTATTTTCTGCTCTGTAATTGGTGATGGCGTTAGGGGTGTAGTGCAGGGGTGGAGCACCTGCCGGGCACGCACAAGGCCCTGGTTCCTTCCCCAGCACCACACACACGCACACTTGGGTGATGGTTTCTGACCTGCGGGGAGCTCAACAGATCCTGCCATGTGATACAGCACTCATTCAGAAAGTGGTAGCTACTGGCAGGCATGGTGGTGCACACCTGTCATCCTAGTGGCTCAGGAGGCAGAGGCAGGAGGATCGCAAGTTCAGAGCCAGTCAGCCTCAGCCTCAGCCGCAGTGAGGTGCCAAGAAACTTGGTGAGATCCTGTCTCTACATAAAATACAAAACAGAGCTGGGGATGTGGCTCAGTGTTCCAGTGCCCCCGAGTTCAATCTCCAGTACCCCCCTCCAAAAAAGAAGTGGTAGCTACTACTATCATCAGAGAGAATGTTGGGAAGTCTTCACATTGGCTATTAATTGGCAGAAGAATGGAATGCAAACGTTTGTAAACTAAGGCAATATTCTGGGCACAAGATTCAGAGTCTGCATTTGTGTGATAATCCTCCTCCTCTCTCTTTTCCAGAAATGTTTTGATCATAAACCTAGAATGATAAGTAAAAGAAATAAAGATAATTCTACTGCTTGTTCTCACCCGGTTACAAAGCATGAATTTGAAGACAATAAGTACGTTGGTCATTCTAACTTTTGTAGTGAAAAACTAGATCCTTTTCATAGATCAAAAAAAACCAAAAGTTGTATGTGCCTAGCCATCCCCACTCCTTCCGTCAATCTGTCCTGTTTTCAGGCACAATGACTATTTTAAAATGTCTTTTAAGCTGGGCATGATGGAGCATGCGTGTATTCCCAGCAAGTTGGGAGGCTAAGGCAGGAGGATTGCAAGCTGAGGTCAGCCTCAGCAATTTAGCAAGACCCTGTCTCAATAAAAAGGCTAGGGATGTGGCTCAGTGTTTAGGTACCCACTGGGTTCAGTCCCTGGTACCAAAAAATACCCCAAAATGTCTTTTAGTAGATTTGACTAGGAATTAATTAATGATTTATTAAATTGATTCTTTAATATAGAAAATTATTATTGAGTCATATCTGTTTATGACTCGGACGTAGGTGTGTTTTGGTTTAAAATATGATTATATCCCCCCCATTAATCCAACAGTTGGATGTGGTGATGTATATTTCTGATAAAGATCGGGACATTGTGTGTGCTGTGTAAAAACCACGACAGAACAATATCAAAACGTTACTGTTTTCTTCTTAGGTGCCTTGTCCACATTTTGCGAGAGACCACGGTAAAGTACTCCAAGATCCGATCTTTCCACGGTCAGTGTCAGCTTGACCTGTGTCGACACGAGGTTCGCTACGGCTGCTTAAGGGAAGACGAGTGCTTCTATGCCCACAGTCTTGTGGAACTGAAGGTCTGGATCATGCAGAATGAAACAGGTGGGTCTGTGTGCCTGAGGACTGTCCCCAAGAGCACAGTGGACAGCGGCCTGAGGTCTGTCCTCACCCGCCACTCGCGGGTGTCCCTTGCTGTGGTCTGCAGCTTGCAGTTGCACACTCGCTGTGGTCTGGAGGGCTGTCTGTTCTGGGGTGGGCTCCTATCGCCTGGATTGGGGAGGAGGATCCCTTGGGTGCACCTGGAGCTGAATTTGTAAATTCCATCTTGAGGAAGAAGAATGTGCTTGTTCCTCTTGGTGACAGACCAGGCTGGCTGAGGCAACTGTGGGTTGAGGGTTCTCCGGGTCTGCCTGGCCGGACGGTGCTCGGCCGCTGTTTAGAATTTAAGGAAGGCTCGTCCCTCTCCCAGGTATTTCTCATGATGCTATTGCTCAGGAGTCTAAACGGTATTGGCGACATTTGGAAGCAAGTGTACCTGGAGCCCAGGTATGTCCTCTGTGTCTTTTCCAGAGGTGTTGGTCTTTCTGGAATAGCCTCCTGGGCGTGGGTTGAGGGAGGGTGCCGATGACACGTGTTGTCCAGCTATTTAATGTTCATTCTGTTGAGGAATTCTTTTGTTAAAAAACGATTTGCATTTTAGTTAATCATGAAAAAAGATCATGCCTGCCCATAATACCTGCCCACAGTGTGGCTACTGTTTTCTCATTTAGTTTAATGGATGAAACAGTTGGGGTCTCCGGCTTTGGGGATTCTTGGAATGAGGGAGGTGGGTTTTATTGGTAGTTTTGCAGACCACCTGGCATAACTTGTTTACCCTCTGTCTCCCCATTTAAAAATAGTCATTGTGCCTGAAAACAGGACAGAATGACGGAAGGAGCGGGGATGGCTGGGCACGTATGACTTTTGGTTTGATTTGGATCTATGAAAAGGATCTAGTTTTTCACTACAAAAGTTATAAAAAAAAGAAACAAAACAATTCCGGGCATTTGATTCAAAGCTGGCATTTGTAGATCGAGGCTTGGCATCTGTAATCTGCTGCTATCACCTTCTCTTACATAGGGGAGAAAAATCGGGGGTTTTTGGCGGCGGGGGTAGGGGGTGGCTGGGGATTGAACTCGGGGGCACTCGACCACTGAGCCACATCCCCAGCCCATTTTGTATTTTATTTAGAGACGGGGTCTCACTGAGTTGCTTGGTGCCTCCATTTTGCTGAGGCTGGCTTTGAACTTGCAATCCTCCTGCCTCAGCCTCCAGAGCCGCTGGGATTACAGGCGTGTGCCACTGTGTCTGGCTGAATTGGAGATTTGAATTATTAGAGCATATTGATAATGGTCAAGACACCAAGCCAGATAAAATAAAAATTTGTATACTATTATGAAAAAGATGTATGATGATTTGATATTTTGTTCTCAGAAAACTGATTTTTTTTTTCAAATAATCTTTTTGTTGTTTAAGGTATTTGGCAATCAGATAATGCCTGGATCTCTTAATATGAGTATAAAATTTGTGTGTGCTCAGTGTCTGAGAAATGGTCAAGTCATTGAACCAGACAAAAACCGAAAATATTGTAGTGCAAAAGCTAGGCACTCGTAAGTATCTTGTGTGTGTGCGTGTGGAGGTGTGTGCCCGTGTCGTTACTGTTTCATGGGTATAAAATCTTTCACATGAGAATAAAGACAAAAAAAGGTGAACACTTTGAAGAAAGGAGTGCATAACTATTTACAAAAGGGGAAGAGGTTTTTAGCATTTCGTAGCTGAGAATCCAAATGTAGTACTTGTCCTGTACTTGACCAGTGATTGGTTGAGGCTTCATAGGAGGTGGGGAAACGTCCTCAGGAGTGTTGAGGAGGAAGAGCGTCCCTGGTCCCTCAGTACACACTTGGAGCCTCCCCCTTTACGTGATGCCTGTTCCCAGTCTGTCTGTGTTTTCTGAACTCCATGTTTCTTAGGTGGACCAAGGAGCGCCGGGCCATGAGAGCGATGTCTTTTGAACGTAAGAAGTGGATGAACATCCGTCCTCTCCCCACAAAGAAACAAATGCCTTTACAGTTTGATGTACATACGTAATTTTTAAGCCACTTTTTAAAAATTAGGCATTTCAGATCATTAGAAAGTATGATTCAGATTGGAGCTCAAGCCCTTTAAACAGTGCTCATCAGTCGTAATGAAGTTTAGCTGGGTCCTCTTGTTTTCCTTCCCCTTTAATATGTGTGTGACTCTGTAATGATTTTCATAACGACTAGAATTTTAGATTGCAACTGAGAAAAAGGTCATGAGCATAATTCAACTTATTTTTCAAAGGAATCACTTTTGGGATGGAATGAGAAAATTCCGTTTAATTCTGGTTCCTTGCATTGGGTACCAAACCCAGGGCCTCCTGTGTTATCATGAATGCTGTCGAGTTTGTTTCTATTGCACTTTGTCTGTTCACCGAAGCAAGGGATATAAAGATACTCGCCCTGTGGGGCCTTTGGAAGGCAGCCCAGAGGGACGTGTTCGGGGCCAGAGGAGCCCATTCCTCAGCAGCCTTGGGTCGAGCCGGCAGGCCACTTCTGGCTGGGGCAGTGCTTCCCTGGGGCGGAGGCGTGCCGTCTTGGCACACTGTAGGATCACGTGGCCTGGGTCTCGACTGTCCACGCAGACCACTTGACAAGAGGGCTCTGGAGAGTTCAGAGGTGTGTCACTGTGTGACCTAGGGGACAGAGGAAGGTGGGGCATTGACAGGAGGTGGGGTGTCTTCCCCATGGAGAAAATATGGGGAGCACCTTCTGCTCAGGGAAGCGGGGCAGATGGATGTCAATGAACCGTCTTCTCTGAATTGCCAGGAAGAGTGGAGGAAGAAGCCAGAAAATTTCTGTGACCTACAACACCTTTCAGTTTTGTAAAACGTACGTCAGTGACCAGCTCAGTCTTGCAGGGTGGAGGTCGGTGTGTGTGTGCAGTGGTTGAGGCTCAGGCTTAATGGCTTTCATAGGAGGGGACCAGGGTTCACTGGAGCCGTACCTGGGGCTCTAAGGTCACGTAGAGAATGCACGGATCACGGACTTGGTTACGCTGAGGACATGTGAGACCCGTTCTAGTTCCTGAGGCAGCTGTCTGGGACGGTTGATTCTTCTCTCGCCCGTGGTCTGCTGCTGTGCTACCTGACAGGACTTGTTCCCTTTGCCTCTCGACCACACGAGGTATCGCTAGGGGCCCTTTTTCTGAAAGAAGAAATAATGCCCTGTGCAGGTGCACGGGCAGGGAGTGTGGTGAGGTGGAAGGAGAATGGGCTTCAGAGTCTGCCAGAAGGGCTGGCGGCAGGTTCTTCAGCCGCAGGGTGTCCCCTGTGAGTGGGAACACGGAGGTCACAGGGAAGACGCAGTGGGTGGCGGTCGCCGACACCCAGAGCGGTGCCTGGCCTCTCCTCGCTCCTCCTCGCTGAGCATTCCCGCAACCTATTGGGATTCCACTGGGACAGAGTGTGACGAAGTGATCGCTGGGACCGCTCAGCTGTGGCTTCATGCAGAAGGTTTTCAGGGTGGTGTCCCTGACGCCGGTCCTCGGGAGGAGCAGTGTTGGGGGCTCCCTGCTTTCAGGGTGTTTCAAAAGCAGTTTTTAATGCCCCCGGAGCTGAGTCCATGGGCAGCCCCTGGGGAGGCAGCAGGACTCGCTGTTGACCAGCTGTAGCGCGTCGGCTGTATCCCGACAAGTTGGCTGCCGACACTTACAAAGGCACTCTTGGCAGCCGAGGTTGGCTTGTCTCTGGAAGGTCGAGATTCTTAGGAAAGTCCGTGTTCTGCCGATCACCATGACTTTATTTCCCTACTAGTACCACCCTGTTTCCTTTGCTAAATAAAAGTGCAAATAGCCAGAGGAGGTACTGTTTGAGAGCCCTGTCACTCCATGGCCTGGTGGTTCACTGATTGCCTTCTGATCATGTGTTTCTAGTGAATTGTGGCCAGCGTTGGCTGCCAGCACTGGTTATCAGTGAGTTAAGTTTCTGAAGCGTCCCTGGCCCTAGTGAGGGGAAGCAGGCTACAGTTCCTTTACTGGTCTCCGGGGCTGAGCTGTAGGTGGCCTGATGTGACACGGGGGAGAGGGGCAGCCATCAGTGCCGAGGTTTTCATGGGATTAAATGCTCTGAGTCTGTTGACATTTTCTTGTAAGAAAACGTTTTGTACTATAATTCTATATTTTCTTCCGGGAATTTCCTTTTTGAAAAATTTTGACATAGAAATATTTACCATTAATGTCATCTCAAATATTTTGGGCTTATCATCAATTTGCATAGAACCAAATTGATTTTTAAATTTTATTGTGAAGCATTAGCACCAATAATAAGACTTATTTTGCTTAAGTTAAAAATTAGTTTTACTAATTGTGCTCTGACTGACAGCCTGTTTATATGTCGATTTTTCACACAGCTGTGCAACCACATTGCTTCTGGAAAGAAATGCCAGTACGTTGGGAACTGCTCCTTTGCTCACAGTCCTGAGGAGCGAGAGGTGTGGACGTACATGAAGGAGAACGGGAGTAAGTGGGTGTTCTCACCGTCCTTGACCTGCACTCTAGCTCACCCACAAATGCCTTTTTTTTTTATAAAAACCCCAGCAGAAAGCAGTTTGCTTTCTAAACACTTGTACCCTGGTGGTGACAGTGACAGTGACCTCAGCGTCAGGGGAGCAGAGTCTGAGTGCCAGCACGCTCCGTTAGGTCAGGTTTGGATGGGAATGTGGAGGTGTGCATCGCTTCATCTAAGAAATGTGTTCCCCAGAAGTGGTCTAGGGAAGCCCGGTCCTTCCGCAGCTTCTTACACCAGGTGGCCTGCTCCGGGGCACCCGCCGCCCTCCCTCCTCCCGCCCTCCCTCCTCCCGCCCTCCCTCCGGGAGCAGCCAGGCAGACAGGAGGGCTCCACAGGAAGTCGAGACCAAAGAGGGAGCTTCCGCCTTGGTCAGGTTTTAAGTTCTCTTGGAGCCTTTGAGAGGAGCCACAGACCACCTTTTCCTTCTGACCATAAACTGTCTTGCTACAGGGAACATTGTTCTTTAATCTTAAATAAACCGTCAGAAATACACTGACCACAGTCTCTGGATGACAAGAATTAATTGGATTGAAGGCTGCCACCTGCTGTGTGCTTGTGTGGGAGTCCCTCTGGCTGTCTTGCTTAAGGACACACAGTCAGCCCTCCTAAGATCTTGCAGTGACTCTTGCTGCCGCTGCTCCTGAGAAGTTTCTAGTTTCTCTCTCCTCTTTCCTGATGATCCAGTATTAGAAACCCTCGAGGAGACAGGAAGCCAAGTGCAGATGAGATGCTCAGACCAGTGTTTAACACAGTGGCTCTGTAGGAGGACAGATCGGGCCCTTCAGCTTCCCTCCTTCTGGGGACAGGTGGCAGTGTCTGGAGACATTTTCATAGAGATAACGGAGGGGAATGCGCTCCTGGCTTCTGGCGATTGGGCAGGGTCCAGCATCCCATAACGCACAGGACGGCTGCCTGCAGCAGAGATTCTCCAGGCAGCGTGTCAGCAGTGGCGCGGCTGAGAAAGCCTGGTTTTAGCACTTGGTGGTGACGCCCACTACTACCTGTTCTTGCCACAGGATGCAGCTGGCAGCCACTGCCCAGGACCTGGTCACAGTGGTATTGTTGCAACTTGCTCCCCAGCACGTCAGTCCTCTTGACCTGCGGCTTGACTGACGGGCTCCCATCAGCGATGGGACCCTGGTCAGTGAAAAGTGGGGAGTGTATTAGCTCTGAGCCCCCGAGCCGTGCTGGAGGCCTGACGTGGTTATGGCACTGAGGTGGGATGCCGGGTGGCGGTAAGCAGTGCCAAGGCTTTCTTGGCAGTGCCTTTATGATGCTGTGAGTTTTAAACACTCCCAGGGTGTCTGGCCAATGCAGGGAACAGTGAATTAATATTGCAAACTAATGTTTGTGGCCTAATTCTCCTGAAATTGATTCTTACGCATGAGAATTTATTTGCTACTCAGACTGGACCGTCTCCCCGTATCTAATACCGCCGGTCGCCCTCGGCCCTCTCGCCTTGTTTTGAAAACCTGCTGACTGACATAGAAAATGTGCATGATAACGCATGGGTTCAAATGGCTTTCCCTTGTTGCTGCTGAAATAATCCATCTTTCTTTAGTACAAGATATGGAGCAGTTTTATGAACTCTGGCTAAAGAGTCAAAAAAATGAAAAAAGTGATGATGTAGCCAGTCAGTCAAACAAGGAAAATGGAAAACAGATCCACATGCCGACAGATTATGCTGAGGTCACCGTAAGTACCGAGGGCCATTTCAGCCCAACTCGGCCGGCCAGGGGTTGAGAGGAGTTTTTTTCTTTCCTACCTTTTTCAAAACCCAACTCCATTTCCTGCTGCCTGCCCTGCTCTGGGGCCCTCTTCTCTCCTCAGGAGTTTCCTGCCATTAGCTTAAGTCTCCTTGGGCTAGAACTTCCCCGTCTCAGTCCTTTTTCCTAACTGTGCGTCCCAGGCCTGTTCTTCTCCTGGCCAGCCTGGGACCCTGAGCGGATGGATGACCTCTCTCTAGTGGGGTCTTTGTGATTCTTACCGAATTGTGATGAGCACGGACACTGATCCCAGGGGGAGGCCACAGAAGGTGCCCAGGCCTCATTCCGTCCTGATCTCCTGCAATCTGGCCTCTCTGCGTCTGTGTGGAGACACCTGAATTACTGACGGTCTGCTTCTGTTTTGGTTTTGTTTTCTTTCTTTCTTTTTTTTTTGTTATTCTTTTAAAATATGCATGACAGTAGACTGTATATTGACATTCTATATTACATAGAGTGTGACTTCTCGTTCTGGTGGCTGTACATGATGTGGGGTTACACTGGTCATGTAGTCATGTATGAACAGAGGAAAGTGATGTCCGATTCATTCTACTGTCGTTCCCATCCCTCCCCGCCACTTCCCCCTGTCCTCTGCTTTGGTTTTCTTTTAAAATTTTCAAAAAGGTAAAGTAGCTCCCATAATGAATGGCTTGAACCCACCCTGCCCGGTCCACCAGGGTTAACACTTATGTTTGCTTCTGCAAAATAAATAGTGCTGCAGATCAAGCTGGAAGTCCATTTGGTCCCCTTCCCAGAGGGACCAGATGCTGTGTTTCTAGGCCGTGTTCACGTATCGTCGATCCATTTCTACCTGTTGGGTCGCACAGTGCCTGTGTTCTGCTTGCTCCTTGTTGGGCCTGGGCACCTCTCCATACTGGTGCAGTCAGGTCCACGTGCCCGGCCCACTGCAGGCCTCGCGTTTGGCCTGGTCTGGTATGTCTCCGCCAGGACACTTGGGAAATGACTAACCCAGCCCCTAGAGTTTCCACCTGTTGTAGCTTTTAAATTCCATGTGACGGTTCCCCCGGGGAGAGCTGTCTGTACTTTCCTGGCTCCTGGCACAAACCTGACCCGTAATCATGGCTCAGTTCATGCCCCCAAAAAGGGGCAGAGCTGCTGCTAGCCCTTCCGGAGTTGGTGTGCTCTGTCTCTCGTCCTCCCATCTTCCCCCGTGGTGCGCATTCCTCCCAGAATCCTTATTTGAACCTGCCTCTTGTCCTCCTGACAAACATCCGTGTGTGTTCAGCTTCTTGCTGGAGGCTTCCTGGGTGCCTAGCAGGAGTGGACGCCGCCTCTGCTCTCTGTGTGCTGGCTTGCATCCTCCTGCTGCGGTCTCTTCCTTGTTCCTGCTTTCGACTCTGACTTTTGTGTTCTTACCCTGCTCCCTTAGAGTGGACCTGGGACTGAGATCAGGTGGCATCGGGACCTCCCGGTGTCCCCGAGCAGTTTCAGGACGCAGACGGCATCCCTGACGGCCACTGTCTCTGCCCCCCACTAGGTGGACTTCCACTGCTGGATGTGCGGGAAGAACTGTAACAGCGAGAAGCAGTGGCAGGGCCACATCTCTTCAGAGAAGCACAAAGAGAAGGTCTTCCACACGGAAGACGACCAGTACTGCTGGCAGCACCGCTTCCCGACAGGCTGTTTTAGTGTTTGTGAGAGGTATGTAGGTCTGGACAGTTTTCCCTGTGGACGTTGCTGAACTCCTGCAACTTCATGGAGATGATCAGGGGACAGAGTGTCTGGTATGGCAGATACCCTCGCACCTGCTCAGGATCTGTGCTACCAGTGAGCTACCCCAGACCCAGTTAGGAAGCTTAAGCCTAGGAAAGTGAATCTTATGGGCATGTTATCTGTAGAGAAATCAGTACTTTAAACTATTTAGATGTGTCCAATGAAAAGTACAGATTGGGGCTGGGGGTGGAGCTCGCGACAGGAGGCCCTGGCTTCCTGGCCATGGTAAGGTGCGTACTTAGAGGCCCACACCCTGGGCTCCATACCCAGCACCAGAACAAGTGAATAGAAACATTCCTGAGAGTTACATGCAATTCATAAAGCTAGTGGAGTTTCTCTCTCCATGAATTGTGGCCTGGTTTTCCTAAATGCCTGTGAGCCTTACCGAGCTGCCTCGTCCTCCCAGGTATATGAATGGTTCCTGCACAGAAGGCAGCAGCTGTAAATTTGCTCATGGAAATGCTGAACTTCAAGAGTGGGAAGAAAGAAGAAGCGCCCTCCAGATGAAGCTCAACAAAGCAAGAAAAGATCACTTAATTGCCCCAAATGATAATGACTTTGGAAAATATAGTTTTTTGTTTAAAGATTTAAACTAATATGCTGGCTTTTATGTAACCTAATCAGAGCATTGACCAGAAAAATTGAAAGTGTTCTGAGGCACGTAGCAGAGGAGCTGCAGATTTTCTGCTTGTATTGGCGTGTATCGTTCCTCCTGAGCAGCAACCCACAGTAGGTAGGAAAACGGGCTGTTTAACAGGTCCCGCCAGGCTCTCACGGAACCATTGGCATCAAATGGCGAAGTGACTGCTACCCGGGTGCCCTCTGTTGAACAGACTTTTGGATGAAGTGTGTTGGGAAGAGGATAAGGTTATGTCTAGGACGATTCTTTGAGTTGGTCCTGCAGATAAGAACCGTGACGGTAAGAGAATAAACACTGGTACTGGGATCAGAATACATGATGAATGAAGTTCTTTACATGTTTTAGCGGAATGAATTTGTTTAATATAATAAAGTTTGCTACTTATCTGTATGTAGGTTGCTAAAAAGGATTTTCTTAACTCAGATTTTAAGCCAAATAACCATTTAACACTAGTATATGTTAAATGGGGTATTTTTCTGTATTTGTATGTTTCACTATAATAAGGGAAGTGAGGATAATGTGCATTGAGACTATTTTGAAAAATAATCAGTTGAATCAAATTTTATTTCTTGGTCTTTTGCTGTTTAAATGATGATTTTGAAAGACTAAACTTGTACTGTTGGTATCGTGTAGTGTATGGACCAATATTGCCTGTAATAAAAAAATTTATATATAGATGACCTTTTTTTTTGGTGTGGTTCTTTCCCCACAAAGAATTGTTGAAACTGGGTATCAAAATCACAAGTTGGTTTAAAAAAGATGTTTTAGTTTAAGCAGTGAGTGACAGATTGCCACTTGGAGGCAGCTTTTCACATATACCCTCTTCTCCGAGTCGGGCTGTAGCTTCTGGTGTGGAGTGATACGTGACCCTGGTGTGCCGTTTGTTCAGGGGACTTACTTAGCATGGAGGACGGCGGCCAGCTGGTGGGAGTCCACAGAGCACCCTCAACAGGCCCTGGCATTGCTGAAAGGGACAACTCCAGCCCCTATTTATTTATTTTAAATGGTAGATGGACACAATACCTTCGTTTATTTTCATGTGGTGCTGAGGATAGAACCCAGTGCCTCATGTGGGAGGCAAGCACTCTGCCACTGAGCCACAACCCCAGCCCGAGTCTGGATTTTTACTTCTTATGCACATATGTCTATATTTTTGTGGTGCTGGGACGGAACCCAGGGCCTGGTGCCTGCTAGGCAAGGCTCTACCACTGAGCTATACCCCCAGCCTGTTTTTTTAAGAGATGGTCTCACTATGTTGTCAAGGCTGGCCTCAAACTGAGGCTCAAGCAATCCTGCCTCCACCTTCTGAGTAACTGGTACTATCCGTGGGCACACTGTTACTTCACAAATGCTTTAGAAGCAATCCTACCTACCAAATGCATCATCTTTTAGTGGTGACATTTCCTGTACAACAGGGTGCTAATCATGATTCTGCTCAGTCTCCCTAGTCTGATGGCCTTCAATGCATTTTTTTTCCTTTACGCTTTCTCCCAAACTCCTTTTGGCCTTTTTAATAATAATAATAGTAACAATAGTAATAATAATAAATGTATAAAACAGAGAATAGGAGATCTTGAAAGGTTGCCCCCGGTGCTGTTTTGGTTAAAGATGAAAACATCGGTCGCTCTAACCTTTGGAATCCACAGAACTTATTTGAAGTCCTACAGGTGGTGGAGACTTTTCCTCCCCTACTCCCCCAGGTCGGTCTGTGCCCAGCCCTCCACCCTCCCAGCAGTCTCTGTGCCCCGAACCATTCTTTCATGAATTCCACTTCTGCCTAAATCCGCCAGTTTCAGGCTCTGGTTTGCAGCGAAGATCACTGCTGTCACAGCCTTGGTCTCAGCATCAGGAAGTCAAGGTTAATCATTCTGTGGGAGATCTCACCCCCATCCTTGGTCTCAGCATCAGGAAGTCAAGGTTAATCAT